TAAATGTTAATTTTTCCGCGATGCTGCGCGCGGCGATTGGTAGAACCAAAAATAAAGCTATAACAGTCCTTGAATGCTTGTTGTGTGTTTTGGTTTTCTTTTGTGTTAAATTGTAAGATGCAAGAAGTTGATAAAAAAGGAAAATCAACTCTTTCATTCAAAATGCTATCGAAAAATACTAACACATGACAAGCTTCAATTTGTGCCTGCATACCTAACTTGTAACGTTTAACATCCTACTATTTTATTGAAAAGGGATGCATCTACTAGAAACAATATTAAGAACAGGTCAGAAATTAACCAAAGAAATGTATTAGTCTGATTTAATTAATGCGTATTTAAGAATACGTTTAAACGAAAACAGCTGTTAAATTCATGGCTGCCAGGTTGCCCTAACGGCTACCAATATGACTATACCTTCCACTTAACCTCTAACATTGGCCATACCCTGTTAGGTCGAGCATTGTTGATTAGCCGATTCTTAGAAGTCACGTCATCATTTTTCCTGATCTAACACGACCTAACAGAGTTAAAGGGTTAACACACAGATCGTGAATACCCCTATTGTCCTCAGGCGATTCACCGTACTGGCAAACTGGATTCTTTGATTTACCCATCTTGTGCTGGTAGGAGTGTGCCCAGTTATAAACTGGGCGAGTAATTAACCTCTTTGTTCCACCCAGTTAACCGATATGTTTGGTTGTCCATTTTCATCTTGGATCAGCGCTTAATCTCTCTCGACAGCGTTGTATGGTCAGCTCTCATGCCTCCTTCGCATCCATTTCCAAATCCAATGCTAAAACCCGTAGTCATCTGACAGCCGGATTAACTTTTGACCTGACAGGTATATAGGTAGGTATTTTTGCCATTGTGAACGTTCAGATTATTGTGCCTCGCCTGTTTTATAGTTAGTGGAGTTAATAAACAATGTAGCAATAGCATCTAATATGTTTTAACTGAGATGTACATAAATGCACACATTACAAGAGAGTAAATGTTTGTCTAAAGATGCCCTGTGAAAAATCATTTTTTAGAAGGCAATGAACTATAAGCATGTTTGAGCGGCACCTAATTAAGCACAACTACCTTCATCATATGGAAAAACGTGTTGAATGCCGTCGTAATTACACGTAAGTAAAATCAACACGGAAATAATAAGCCAGTGGGGGGAAAACTTTGCCCTGCTAGGTGGGGGCGATTCGGAGGGACTTGTTGCATCAATAAAAATTCTATTTTCACAGGTAAGCGATGACAATAATTGGAAGATTACCGTCGACCCCTCGTAGAGTATTGTTCGACACTGGCGAGCCATTACGGATAAAAGTGGACATGTCAACATGACAGGCTCCGCTAATTGCCCAAAGAAATATGATCTCCATCTAAAATAACCTCAGTTGAACGTGTGCCAATTAAACGGTGTTTTATCCAAGGGGCGAAGATTTGTTTTCAATATAAAAAAATTGAAAGCCCTTCCAAAGTGTTATTGAACCGTTTCATTTATTTTCTTACTTCTTTTTTTCTAGTTTATTATTATTTATTCTAAAGATTATATATATTTTTCACACAAATAAATACATTCACTCTATACACCTTTCATTCATTCATTCTATTTGGTAGATGGAGTACTCAATATTCCTTCATCGACCTGCATACAATAACAAACTAATCTAATGGGGGTCGTTGGGGTAATTTTATAAATATTCCGCTATCAACCAAGACAGGTGCACAGCTCGAGAGGCGATGGGGTCGCTATTTCACCATCAGCCCTTCCCATTCACTCTAATAAATACACTCACTCATACAAAACACATTAACACAAAACACTTATTTTAACGTGTATGTACAATAAAAATTCCCTCTTCCCTTAAAAAGCGGAACTTATGAGAACCCTTCTTAAATCGGGTTTTAAAGCTTTCGCCCACAAAAGCAGGTGCCCGTATGTCAACCGCGTATGGACAATCCGATGATAATGTTATAAAACATAGGCATTATAATAATCAACATTGTTTTAAATTACGTGGGCAGTTTTGCAAATTATTTTATATTTTTAAGCAACCCTGAATCAATCAGTTCAACCTATTTTAGCCATTTCAGCCTAACGAATCAAATTTTATTTGAATGTGCCTTTCAGCACTTTTGGCAAGGTTTGATTCAGCACATTTGGTCATTTTGCATGAAAAACGCAAAAACCCCCCAAACAATCGAAAAAAAATTTATTGTCTTTTTGGATGTAGAAGGCTCGTAGGCACGCTTTTTACTTATTTTTCATGAAAAACGCAAAAAAAATTGAAAAAAAATTTATTTTCTTTTTTGGATGTAAAAGGCTCTAGGCGCGTTTTTTACATATTTTTCATGAAAACGCAAAAAAAAAATCGAAAAAATTATTCTATTTTTGGATGTAAAAGGATCGTAGGCACTTTTTTTTACGTATTTTTCATCAAAACGCAAAAAAAAAAACCAAAAATCGAAAATAATATTATTGTCTTTTTTGGATGTAAAAGGCTCGTAGGCACGGTTTTTTACGAATTTTTCCTGAAAAACGAAAAAAATCGAAAAAAAATTTATTGTCTTTTTTGGATGTAAAAGGCTCGTAGACACGATTTTATTGACTTTCCGGTATTTGCCGACACTAGTGAGGATGATTCGTAATTTAAACCATTTTTCTTGGCGCCTTTAACACTTGTTTTAATTGAATAAACAGCAACAATTAATTAAAGAAAAGCATAAAATCAACAACTTAATTTAATGTTTATGAATACGTACAAAAAGATTTCCCACAGAATGCTAAGGTAACTAGGCATTTTATGTAAGTAAACTATAACGTTTTCGAAATTAATTAAAAATAATTGTAAATTATGTATTTTTAAAAATATTTTTAAAATTAAATGTGCCTACCTGTAAATAAATTCTGAAATATTTCTATCAATGTGAAACCAGTTTCTCGAATTGAGATTAGTTGGACATAACCGATTTTCTTTTAAATTATCGGTCTCAATGATGACGACCTCTCACTAGTATGATTACTTGTCGTTATTCAAAGCTACCGGTCCCAACGGGACGAATTGCATTTCTAAAACGAAACTTTCTCGTCTAGTTTTCAAGTTTCTGAATATTGACGTCATCCAATTTTGGTTCCTTAGGAGAAAATGTATTGTGCATATTGGGAGAATTGCAATTGAAAACTTTTCTAATAAATTTCCCCTGTCACATAAAATAAATCGTATTTATTAGACTCTTCGTTAGTACGATATTTGATTAGTTCGCAATAAATCAAATAAATAAGTTGAAATCACTATTTCTTCCTTACATTAGTTCGAAATTTAACACGCCTATTTTGACCAATTATTAGGTCGAACATATTTATTTTGATATTTTACCAACTTCACGTACTAGGAGCCACTTTTTAAGGTGGACAAATTTAACGCACCACTCAATTTATTTAATTTAAAATTAAATCCATTACCTATCTTTAATATTTAAAGGTAATTAGGAGCTATTGTAGTCAAAATAAACAGTAAATAAAGCTTTATGAAAGGTATTGGTTGAGAAAAAAAGTCAGTGTCACGAACGGGATTCGAACCCACGAACGACCTTCGGCTAAATACGCCGCTGTTCTACGACTTGAGCTACCGTGACCTCAATCCACTCTGACACTAACTTCCCACCTCAACCCACCTTTCGAATTTTCCCTCCTTTTTGACATTTTTCAATTCAATATTTGAAAGGTGGGTTGCGGTAGGAAGTTAGTGTACGAGTGGATCGAAGTCACGATAGGTCAAGTGGTAGAGCAGAGGAGTTTTTAGCCGAAGGTCGTGGGTTCGAATCCCGTTCGTGACGCTGACTTTTTTATCTTACCAATACCTTACATAAAGAATAATTAATTGAAAAAAGTTAATTGGTCACTCGGACCACGAACTCTAATGGAGTAAATAAAGCTTTGTTTATTTTTGTACGGATTCATCCTATTTACACCAAAAGCAGCCTTATGCCCTTCCATTCTGCTACATCTAAAGATCGCTCTCCGTTAATCTTTTTCCTTCGTTGATTTCATTCGAGGTTATTCTTATTTTTAAACCTTGACTACTTGAATGAGGTTGGAATTGAGTGCTTGGTGTGTGGCCAGCTCGCAATCCAGATTTGAGACCAACTTAAGCACGAGGTGAAACACAGGCCCTAAAACCTTAGAAGAGTTGGAAACGGCCGTTCTTGATGAATGGGAAAAAATTCCACAGGATTTTATCAGAAATCTTTTCCAAGGAATGGGAAGTTTAACGGACAAGATGACCAGAGGCGGAAATATTCCGTATTAAAAAAGAACATTTTTTTTAATTTTATTATTTTTAAATTGTTTTTTTACAACCAAACCTATTTTTGGTATGCAAAATATGAATAGGGCTACATTAAAATTTAAGGGCGTTGCGTTTATTTTGTCCATCAGCGTGTTATTTTTATATTTGATTTTCTTTCATAATTAATATTTTTCTGCGATTCTTCACGTTAAAGAGGTTGAAGTATGCCTACATGGTATCACATCATAAATAAATTTAAACTGGCGAGACAAAAGCATGTTTTATACGATGTTTAACTGTTTGATTTTAAGTAAAACGTCCAAAAAATGACAAAACTCTTCTTTTTCTCTTTGAAAAATTAACTTTATAATATTGATGATTAAATGTGTGAAATAAATGGAAATATTGACGAATTTGGTCGTTTCCAATCATCTCCGTCTGCCGTTGCTTGCACTGACAGAGATTTGTCCGCATTTCGCCAGTAAGATAAAGCTAAATGTCACAATGATAAATCTTGTAATAAATTTCCACAATAAAATTTAATTTTGTCAAAATATCTGGGAGGAAATAGGGAAGAAAGGATATGTGAAATACAAAATAAAATAAAAAATACAATTGTATATAATTATCTATACACTGACTCGTATACCATTTTTATTTTCTACTACTTCAATTTTTTTAGTTCTTTATAATGTTTTATATTTACAAATTGTAAACTGAAATTTTCCTTTGAGGAGGAGGAAAAATAACACTAAATACTAACAATTTTTAAAAAATAATTTGTCTGTTATCACTCTGAAGTCTGATACTTGGAGCTAAAAACTAAAGTCCGTCTCGCAAGTCGAACTGATGGTCGAAATAGAGTTACCGGCAATCTGTCAACTACGACTGAACAAATACGTGAGGGATAAAAATTGTCGGATGATTTATCGTTTAATATTTACCGTGTAATCCAGCTCTCCGTGGGGGGAGCAACACGTTGCGACATAAAACATTGCCGGCCGGGTTGTCGAGGGGTGTCAATAAAATATTTCCAGTGGACAGCATCAAACCCCACGAAGGACTCGGTTCTAGAAATCGGTCCGTGACTCACGCGAATCTACGGGTGACGTGACCGCGTTTTGGATCGATCTCACTTGGAAATAAAATATTTATAAAGAGAGTGAGCGAGAGAGAGAGATGGTCCGCCGGTTCGATAAACGGCCGAATTACTCTCTCCTGCCACCATTGTCAACTCGGGGCCATCCAAAAGAAAATAAAACAATAGTCCCATAAGATAATTTTCTTTATAGAAAAATAAAGCACCCGTATTAAATAAATATCTAATGTGAATAACTAGGAGAAGAACAAAATGGGATTCCTTTACCACGAAACTAAAATTATTGCATCGAATCATCTTTTAATTTACTAACAATCGCTTTGCCACGGCTGTGAATAAATAAAATAAATACGTTACGCGGCAATTGCAATTTTCCCAACTACAAAACGTAAACTTGACCAAACTTTATAAAGTTCTGATAATTGAGATCTTCGATTATATAAAAATATCACTACACTAATCATTGTACACAGGTCGGATCGAATATTCGTTCAGTTCGCCATCAGATCGAGTCGCTTTGTAAGATAATAAACTTAAGACCCTGATTGCCAATTGCTAACTGACCTCCAATTAAAAACTAAAAAATTGCATAGCATCGTATGCGCTCTACCTCCTCGACATTATTTGAACACAGACTATTTATACATTTACAAAACAGCAGAGCGCATATAAAAAATTAAAAATAAAACAAAAACAAGGAATCAAAATCTACATACATATCTGTGTTTTATTCAATTATATATATATATATTTATATATAAACCTATACGCAATTTATAATACAATAAGATTGTCTATTTATATTTATATAGGTTACATCCATGTACACATCACTCGCAAAATAATATAACACTAAAAGAACGAACCGGAAATGTGGGAGGGTAGTAGTCCAAAGGTCCATTTAGCTCATATTAAGATTTAGGACATGATATTTGTACACAACGACACATCAACGTTCCTTGTAGGTAACACTGTTTAACACAACCATCAGATCAGCGTGCTTTAATAATCAAAGATATTCCTTCATAAGGCGATATGTCCAAATGTGGAATGTTTCGATATATTTGGTCGCTACATCTCGCATCCTCCGTCTAGGTAACCCAGGAGCCTTTTTCGTTAGACAGTTGGCCACACCCTGAAACATACATTCAAATCGTTAATAGGTTTTATTGATAATCTATAACGCTTATTATTCTACGTTAAGGGACCACCTTTTGCAATCTCTTTTATCCGAGCGATTAAACGATAGATTTAGTTTTTAAGTAGATTATTCGTTAAATTTTCAAAAATTATGCAACATACACATCGAACACATAATCAGAGGGCAGTAATATTAATAGAATTATAAATTATGGAGAGCGAAAGCTCATTTTAAACGTAGTTCTAGGGGCGCTTATGAGCGCAAATAGTTCTCTGACAAAATTAAATCATATCCAATCAGATTTCATCTGCGTTTCCTCCGGTCATTACACGACAAACCGTTCAACATTGCTATTAATGCTTGCTCTATCAAGTATTAATATATTAAGTTTTCAGGATTATTAACAGAGAAATACTGGGTTTACAAAAAGCCTGATAATATTTAATGTGATTGCGTCAAAATGTTCACATTTATAGCAAATCCATCAGAGTTCGTGGTCCGATTGACCGAATAACGTTTTTCAATTAATTAATCTTTATAGAAGGCATTGGTTGAAAAATGGCAAAAAGGAGGGAAAATTCGAAAAGTGGGGTTGAGATGGGAAGTTCGTGTCCGATCTAGCCGAAGGTTCTGGTTCGAATCCCGCTCGTGACACTGACTTTGTAATCTCAACCAATGCCTTATATAAAGATTTGTAGCAAAATTAATTAAGGTTTTTAGTTGAGGCAAAAACAGTCAGTGTCACGAGCGGGATTCGAACCCACGACCTTCGGCTAGATACGCCGCTGCTCTACCACTTGAGCTATCGTGACCTCAATCCACTCGGATACNTTGTATTTATGTAAATTTATGGAAATGAATGTAATTATTAGCGTGAAAGGATAGATTGTTTAACCCCGCCCCTCGAGGAATACAGATTACCTTGTGGTGTGTAACGTCTACAGAGTAAAAGTAAGTTATTAGCGAGAATGGAAGTGGGCCCAACCCCCGCCCCGATGAATGAAGTACTCCGGGAGACTGAATTTGAACGACTTCTAAGTTTGTGGTGACGTATATATGTTTTATATCCTGTAGTTGACAAGATGAGGTACGAATGCAAACAATTTCAGAAAATCGACTTATTGTTCATACAAAAGCTGAGAGACAGTAAAGAGCTCAAGTGGCTGCAGGCAGAAAAATAAGCGTGAAAACCAGAAAAAGAAGTAAAAACTCGCAGATAACCTAAGCGGTTTATCGGACCCAAAACTTCCCACATTAATATTATTATTATATTAATTTAACAAGCTGACTACATATTAAAAATAATAGTTTATCATCTAAAAAAATAAAATTACGCCCAAGTAATCTTTATAAAACCAGAGTTCATTTTTAAAATTTACGCCAATCAGAAATTATTTTCTATATCATTTTTTATATAATAAAAAAGAAAAATTGCATATGGATCTGTTCCCCCTGCTTTATTTATTAATGTATGCGAAATAACAAACTTCTGTCTAGCCGATGAGAAAAAACAACTGAATAAAAGGTAGGTTGGAAATAACTGAAGCATGAAAAAGAAGTGTAATGGTACGATGTCAAAATCTCACGTTAATCTAAATGGCATGCCGAATAATTAAATAGGCGCCCTTTTCGTTTTAAACACTTAACATGGCAAATAAACTATTGTACAAAAAATTACATTTAGTTTTGTAGATCTAGCACTTTTGTAGTAAGGTGTGGTGATTAGTGACCGTTAATCGATGATTATTCGGAAATCGTGAGATGCGGTCTGGACGTTGGTTTCAGAAAAACATTTTCTTTATCGTGCCAACGTTTCGATCTTTATTGAGATCATCTTCAGGGCCTGGGATTTACAAACATTGTTTAAATGTAACAAATACATGTAGGATGTGGAAAAAAGTGAAATTTTTTGCATTGTATAAATTCACTTTTTTCCACATCCTACATGTATTTGTTAAATTTAAACGATGTTTGTAAATCCCAGGCCCTGAAGATGATCTCAATAAAGATCGAAACGTTGGCACGGTAAAGAAAATGTTTTTTTGAAGGGCTACATCACACCAGACCGCATCTCACGATTTTCGAATAATCATTTTGTAGTAAGATTGTAAAAACGACGGATGTTTAAATCCATTTAGAAAATGTTAATAAAGTACAGAAAATCGTCAAATTTTGAATAGGACGTGTTGTAGCGTAATGAAAAATAAAATACGCCCTCTATCAATTTTTGCCCAGTTAAAGGCTACTTAACCCGACTTATTAAGTTTAATCAATTAAAAAATAATAAGCCGGTTTTAGTGAAATTATTGAAAATGAAATATTCGATACATACGGTTTAAGAGAATAAAATTGAACTCTCATTTGTATCTGAAAAGATTCAAATTTATATAATATGCTAACTCGAGTTCTCGTGTCCGCCCGTTTTACATGAGATATTGCGTGTTCCTCATGCCGGTTCTTTCATCCGTCTTTTTTCTTGTATCTTTCCCCCCTGGAGAACTTTTTCTCCTTCTTTTTATTTATTTTTTTCTCTGCTCGAGAGCACCTTTTATTCAGTCCGGATCATTTCAAAGATTGCGTGACCAGAGGGGAGTGGCCGAAGTGTCTTCATGTCGTGGAGATTGTTCAAATCCTTCCCCCCACCTGGGAGTTAGCTTTTTTTATTACGATTATTTTATTCGCTGTTATTCATTACGCTCCAAAAACTACTTCTAGAATGGTATTATGACTGATTTCAACGAGAATTTAAAAAAGTCATGTACCGTCCAGTCATTGGAGATCGTGTATTTTGACTCCCGGAACCAACAGTGTATGTTTGGACTATTCTATTAGTTTATCGATAAAATAACCAATTTTCACATATCACCTGGAACTGATAATCTCTAACATACCCCTTGAAACATATCTGTGCAAAAAGCGCAGATTTTTAAATCGTTTTCACTAATTGAATTAATTATATTTTTTAAAGAAAAGTCTCGGCTAAGATGAAAAAATTAGTGTCACGAGCGGGATTCGAACTCACGACCTTCGGCTGGATTCGAATCCGCTCGTGACACTGTTTTCAACGAGAAATCAAAAAAGTCATGTACCGTCTGGTCATTGGTGTTCGTGTATTTTCACTTGATTGGATTCTTCTCAGTGTATGTTTAGTCTATAATATTAGTTTATCGATAAAATAACCAATTTTCACATATCATATAGAATTGATAATCTCTAACATACCATTTGAAACATATCTGTGCAAAAAAGTGTAAATTTTTAAATCGTTTTCACTAACTTAAATTAATTAGTCGTTTTACGTAAAGTCTCGGCTAAGATGAAAAAATTAGTGTCATGTGCGGGATTCGAACCCACGACCTTTGGCTCAATACGCCGCTGCTCTAATCACTTGAGCTACGTGACTACTTATTCCGAAATCGTGAGATGCGGCCTGGTGTGATGTAGGTTTCAGAAAAACATTTTCTTTATCGGGCCAACGTTTCGATCTTTATTGAGATCATCTTCAGGGCCTGGGATTTACAAACAATGTTTACATTTAACGTGACTGATTAAGTCTCGAAGTCACGATAGCTTATGGGTTCGAATCCCACTCGTGGCACTAATTTTTTCATTTCAGCCAATACCTTACATAAAAAGATTAATTAATTAGATATAAGATGTATTTTTCAAGATGGTTAGTGAAATTCTTTAGAAAGGAATTCATGCCATCTACAGTCGAATATTAGGTAAATAAGAAAATTTTTTAAAAATATTCCAGTTAATTGTAAATATAGATGTTTCCATAGATAAGAATTTATAGAAATGTTTATTTTATTAGAGTTCATTTACTAATTTTTGACCCAGCAGAAGGTCTTGAGTTCGAATCCCGCTCGTGACACTTTTTCATATCAACCAAGACTTTACGTAAAAAGAATAATAAATTGAAATAAGTAATTCGATCAATTAGACCTCTAAACATAAATGGGTTTTCACTAACGTTTATGCCAATTGTATGTATATGAAAATTCTGACCGATTAGGTGAAAGTGAAATAGTTGAACGTGATTTAAAATGATAAACTTTTTTAAAAACGCATCTAACGACATAATCACAGTATGAGAAAAATAATTAATCTTTATTGAACATCCGGCAGTCTTACAACTGCTATGATCGATCATTCATTCAATCGCATTAAAAAAAAACTACCCTTCATTTATACTTATTATTGATGTTTTATGAATAATTGTGACATAAAAATGTGTGCGATTACAGTTAAATTTATTGCAATGTAAACAATTTTGTTATTTGTAGAAGTTAGTGACACAATGTTGATATTATAGATAAAAACTGAGAAAATAGAATATGAAAGAAAGTTTTTCAATAATTTACGGTCAATCACGAACCCTTTCTCCAAAACGGAAATCAATTCTAATTAATACCTTCTTCCGATTAATTTACGTTATTTACACAGAAATGAGTCTTAAGCTCCAAGTATTTTATATATTTTAAACTTTTATAAAAATTAACTTAAAAGTATATAAATAAAAGTATTTAATGTGTAAAGTATTAAGATGCATACTAACATTATAATTTTTTTTATCTAGGTCTTCTCTCGGGGGTTTGAACGATAGAGTAAAAATGTGATCAGCCGGTCATTTGCGATCTCTGACGAAAACCGCGACATCTGGACATACAAAGAAACCGCTTTGAACAAAAATGGAAACGAAAAAGAGAACGATGTTTGCGGAACAACGTGCACAACAGAAGAAAACCACGACCTTGTGCACGAATGGTAACTGAAGGCAAAAGGAAAGCCTTCGAGTTTTCCAGAGAAAATCCTCGAACAAGGTTTCCTTTCATCTGTCAATGTTATTACACATACTAGAATACGTAATTACAGCCCGAATAAAACAACAATCCATTCAATTCGTTCAATGAATAAATGCTAAATATTAGAATATTAAAAATCGGCAGAAAAACAAACTCACGTCAGGAGCCCAGGATTCGGTTCCGTTGTCTGGTACCATGAATACTGCGGCATGTAGCTGGCGGGGTGGTGATGGTGGTGAGGGGGTGGAAGGTTTGGTTTCATTTCCCATGGTCCAGGGGGCGATCCACCATGAGGGGGTTGGGGCGACATGTCAGAAACGGGGGTTGAACTAGGAGTGGGCGTATTCCCCACGTGGCCCCCTAGATAACCACCCGGCGAGTGCTGGCTCCCGCTCGACGAACCTCCGTTACCACCTGCAAAAATAAAATGTATCATTCGTCATCAAACAAACAGACAACCAACAGACTAGTCTGAATGCCTATTTATTTTATACACTAACAAATTCAGAGCTCATCATGAAAACCTGGTGGTGAGCCATCAACAGTTTCAAAATAGCATATCAACGGGGGTATTCAACTGCCCTGGAAGATCAAAAATGAAGATTTCCAGCTAACTAGCAGGTAACTATCCCCTTTAGGCCATCAACTAGATTTCAATTATAGGTCATTCGTACACGATCATCCTGGTTTACCTATCCTCGCTGTTTTGGTATGCCAGATGAATGCCAAAACGCGACCGACGGGCCAAAACCGGGATGATTGGAAACGATCGAACTATAATTTCGTCACCGAACCACAAAAACAAATCTCACAATTCTCTCCTTGTTAATTTACCTTCTTATCCATCAACAATAATCGAAAATAAAACGATAGAAACAAACGTTTCTCCGAAGATTCGAAATATATTTTAACGAAATTCAATGTTCATGTTAATGACGTTTAGTCGAGGATTAAAAGTGTAAGTATCATGTTTTGAATAGTAACAAGAAGAAAATTGTTTGCCTGATTTGATTGATTTTATACATTTTTTATAAAAGAAGAGGTTTTTTTTATCGCTGTGCCTTTACGACATCGAACACCTAACCAGGCATCTTAAACCGATCAAAACCCCCAACCAATGTTAAAGTAGTTTAACATTAGTTAATTACATTAATTTATGTTAATTTTGTCAATTAACACATAAATAATAATGCGTGTGGTTGACATAAATGAATATAGCATTTTTCAGTCAAATGAAACTTTTTTTATCCAAATGAAACTTTCTTCAATCAAATGAAACTTTTTTCAATCAAATGAAACCTTTTTTTTTAATCAAATGAAACTTTTTTTTCAATAAAATGAAACGTTTTTCCAATCAAATGAAACTTTTTTTCAACCAAATGAAACGTTTTTCCAATCAAATGAAACTTTTTTTCAACCAAATGAAACTTTTTTTTCAATCAAATGAAACCTTTTTCCAATCAAATGAAACTTTTTTCAATCAAATGAAACCTTTTTTCAATTAAATTAAACTTTTTTTTCAACCAAATGAACCTTTTTTTCAATCAAATGAAACTGTTTTTCAATCAAATGAAACCTTTTTTCAATCAAATGAAACTTTTTTTCAATCAAATGAAACCGTTTTTCAATCAAATGAAACCTTTTTTCAATCAAATTAAACTTTTTTTCAAGCAAATGAAACTTTTTTTCAATCAAATGAAACCGTTTTTCAATCAAATGAAACCGTTTTTCAAGCAAATGAAACCTTTTTTCAAGCAAATGAAACCTAAAACCTAATGATGATAATTATGTAGAGGAATAAATAAATGACTTAGGACTAACAATAATTTTTATGATGATTGAACTCCAACCCACTCCATCATTCATAATTTCTATCACAGAAAGTTTTCCTCGCTCAAAAACACTTTTGTGGATGTAGAAAAGTTTGATGAATACGGATCTTCACAAGAAACGTTCTTGTACCTAAGCTTTACGATTCAATTATTATAATATTAATATTCAATCATCATAAAAATTATTGTTAGTACTAATAATGTCATTTATTTATTCCTCTATCTAATTATTATCATTAGGTTTTAGGTTTCATTTGCTTGAAAAAAGGTTTCATTTGATTGTAAAATGGTTTCATTTGATTGAAAAAAAGTTTCATTTGATTGAAAAAAAAGTTTCATTTGGTTGTAAATAGGTTTCATTTGATTGAAAAAAGGTTTCATTTGATTGAAAAAAGGTTTCATTTGATTGAAAAAAGGTTTCGTTTGATTGAAAAAAGGTTTCATTTGATTGTAAAATGGTTTCATTTGATTGAAAAAAAGTGTCATTTGATTGAAAAAAAGTTTCATTTGATTGAAAAAAAGTTTCATTTGACTGAAAAATGCTAGAATTTGTTCAGAAAAATATATTTATTCGATATGCTCTACGCTAGATCACATTTACGGAAAGTGTCCTCAAACAAGACAAATGATTTAGTAAATAAACAAATGTTTTTGTTTTTTATATAAAAGAAGCAATGTTACGGGACAAGCAAGACCATTTAAGTTCATGCGATATTTCCTTCGGTTTGGAATAAAATATAAGATTTGTACTTTCATTGTATTTATATTATTGCACATTACTCTTAAGGATCTTTATTATGGTATTAAGGACAGTACTGACTCATGAAATTAGTTATGGTTTGCTTTCCCCTTTTTTTATTGTCATTTGTTAAGCCTGTTTAAGTCTTTAGGTGCAAGTTTTTACAGATACAAGTAATATGTATTACATTTTGGAGATATTACGATAACTTTGGAGCTATAGTAATGAGATTTTTTCCTTTTTTTAAGAAAATGCCTTTTAATTTTTTTAAGTTTTATGAGTTTCAAAGATGAAAACAGATTTCAGCTAAAATGTATATTTCGTTCATTTCAGAATTGGTGAGCTTTAATCCACAATAAAATATTAGATGGCTGGGGGTTCGATTATCTTAATATTGACAATTTCGAGAAATGAATTATTTGTTCAGCGGCTCTAAATTCTTACCAAAAATTGTAACTTTTTTTTTCAAAAACACCGAAACACCATGGGTTAGTTGACCTCTGCTGTGCGAACCCCGTTAAAATATTATGTAATTAATTATAAAATAATCATATACATCATCATATATATCATTGGAAAATATTAATATGCAAATTGAATAATCCACATTGTAAATATTTAATAGAAATTGTACAAACTATATTTTCAAACATCGCTTTTACTTGAAGGTTCAGTGAAATGATTCAAAGAAAAAGTAATTGTAATAAATGTGCACTAACTGTTAATTTCCGTACCTCCTGGCGGTTGTGGACTGCTTGGTCCTTGCATTCCCGGGGTGTGCGGAGGATTTCCAAGCATATGCGGCGCTCCGCCTCCTGCTCCTCCAGCATTGCCGCCTCCTCCTTGCTGCGCCGCCTTCATCATTTTTTTGTATTTGCTCCGCCTGTTTTGGAACCAAATCTTGACCTAGTAACAGAGACAAAGAAATAACAATTAATAAAAGGCTCGGCCAGTTTTATTTGCGTTATTTACAATAAAGACTCGTCGTGCTCCTCATGAAATCAAAGTAATTATTCAGAGGCCCATATGAATATTTTCTACGGGGGCCCACGACAGAAAATCTTAAAAATTGAGTCATCAGTGTAATTACCGTGGAATAGGCCGATGAAATATTGATAAATACGCTCGCCCCACTTCACCGCCCTTTCCAATGCACATATTCGATATGCCGCTTCATAAAATGTTAAATTAACACGAAAGGGGGTTGAGAACGGCCGATGTAAAGGATTGATGGTCAGTAAATCTCAAATTAATTCCTTGTTTACAAACCTCTAGACAAGGAATGGAATAAATACACCGGAGGCGCCGGGATTTATGTCTCAGCCGGGGAGACAAAGCCAAACAACTTTTTATGTCGTCTTCAGCCGTCTGCCTTCCTGATGATGTTGGAATTTGTCAAAACGGTTCCGTGCGAAAACTAATCGAAAGGAAATTTTTCCTGTTCGATGAGGCCGCTAATCTGTTCAACAGCCGTGTCAAAAACACATTAATCACAGATTATTCGTTTCCACAATTACAACAATGGCGATGATAAATGTCATTAATCATCTTTTTCAAAGCCTTCATGTTAAATTAGACTAATTCCGCCGTTACGTGAAAAAAACTTGTAACTCTTAATTGCGAAGAATGAGTCGGCACAACATTAGAGGCTTGGGAGAAAAGTAAAGGTTAAAGAAAAGACCAAAAGATAAACGAAATTTTTCAGAGTTCATTTTTGTCTAACTCATTTAAACAGAAATAAAATACTTATATAATTTATACATCAAGCATCATAATTAAAACATACTAGAACAAATATAATATTATATAATAATGAGATGTGTCTGTACGTTTCGATATTTATTGAGATCATCTTCAGGGCCTGGGATTTACAAACTATGATTGAACATAAAAAATATATTTTGTATTGTATAAATTCACTTTTTTACACATCCTACATGTATTTGTTAAATTTAAACAATGTTTGTAAATCCCAGGCCCTGAAGATGATTGCAATAAAGATCGAAACGTTGGCACGATAAAGAAAATGTTTTTCTGAAACCTACGTCACACCAGACCGCATCTCACGATCTCTGAATAATAATAATGAGAGGAATGTTAACACAAATAACTTCTAATAATCAAACAAAATATAAAAATTGAATTGTTAAAGAACGCCGGTTAGTGATGTTTACTATTTCTACCTACTAAAAGAAACTATAGTTTTATATTGACAGCATTAATTAAATCGAGATGTAATTGCATATATTACTAACAGGGAAAATTTGAAATCTAAATGAGTGTCAAAAAAGAGGTTAAATAAAACAATTATTTTTCACTTTGCACAGTCAGTTATTGTTCGCGTTATATCTTCATGATTCAGAGGACAAATTGGCATCACAGAGGTATTTTAGCATAATCAAACTATTAGTACATCTGTGCTGTTGATAATGTTATATTGACACAGTCCTCTTAGGCTTTTTAAATTAAGGTATAACTTGAAATTAAATCTAATTACTCGAAAATTGTCATTTGTAAGAGAAGGGGGAAAAATAGCTAAAATAAACTTGAAATCAGGATTTCATAAAAAAAACTCACTAAATTAAAATCTGTACAGAAAAAAATCCAATAAAGGTATCATGGTCAACGTTAAAATTTTGTAAGGTATGAAGTTCAGGTTTAGGTAGCGCCTTTTATAAAATTGAAGAAGTGCTCAGATTTTTATTAGGAAATGTCTCTGATTCCTGCTATGGAACGGCATTCTCGCAGTTAGAAACCATCACGGTACCAATTCGTGTTTTTACAGTCAAAATATTTTGTGGTTAAATAATTTGAATGTAGTGCTGTGGAATATATCCATACTTTCCAACAACGCCATTCTTAATTCCTGCAGGTTGTCTGGCATCACTGGGTGCTTTTTACCCCCTTTGACAACTCCCAAAGGTGTTCGATAAGGTTTAAGTCGGGACTAGATGCCACTCCAAACAATGGAGCTCCGCCGCCAATTAGTGACATATAAGGAACAACATCTGATTACACACCTTCAAAGTATTGCGCAGCTATTAGGGAACCACTGATGAAGATCAAGCTTATGCGATCTTCAATAGAACATGCCCAAAACATAGCAACCACCTCCATACCTTATCCGTAGAAAAAATATTTCGGGGGTACATCGCTCTCTAGTTCTTATCCAAACCCTCTCTCGGCCGTCAGAAGACCTCAAATTAAACTGAAGAGTAAAGACTCCGAAATCAAGATTTTAGTCCAATATTCAGACCAATTGATGTGATTTCTTGGGAAACTTAACCGAGCTGTTCTGTTCCTTGTCAGAAGTTCTGCACAAGTGGCAGTCCTTCTCGCAGCTAATCCAGCTTCTGAAAGTCTTCGCCTTACATGCTTAACCTGACTTAACTTTGCAGATTTTAAAACACCACCAAAGAAAAACTATCAAAGAAGACATTGATTCAAAGATTTATTTCCAAAATCCAATTGTAAACACAATTGGGAAATTTATACATCTGTGTCATCTTCGCCGTACAGTGCTGACATTAACGTTTCTAACTTGTTGAAGTCGTTGCGTGATCTCAACAGCGGTAGAAGTCGATTAAGGAGTACATTCGAATCAATAAAACCATCTCATTGAGACGTGAATGAAGACCTGATCCATGACTTCTAGAGTAACCTCCAGTATCTTGGTAGAGATGGAACACCCTTCGGACAGTTGTTCTGGGAACGTTAAAACATGCTGGACTTCTTCTCCCAACAATTCTAGCCGAATCTGTATCACTTAAAACCATCACTCAAACAAGTTTAAAACGTACAAATTGCACAACTTTTAACATTCAAACCACCGTAACGTTAGCAAGCTAGAAGCTTTGCAGAAAACTAACAAAGGAGAGATTTACCATCCAAAGATTTATTTACGAAAACCGATTGTAAACACAAATGATAGATTTTATCGGTTTTATTTACCTCTAATTCTCTAAAACGAAGAAAATATTGGAGAATGTAGAATGGAAGATTGTCTAAATCTAACAGGCAATTAAAAATATTAATAGTGGCTACTTTTTTGCTTCTCAGTGTAGATATTAGTCTAATTTAATGGTAAAAATATAAATAAAGGAAATGAATTTACTTAACTTTAGATCGAATATTCTATATAAAAGGTAAAAAATAGTAAGATTCCTCGGTCGGTTTGTAATACATCATGAAGTTGTTTTATAATTTATGGTATAATTATTATTTTAAACAAGGCAACAGCGACAACACCTTTAAACCCAATATAGAAAGCATAATTATAGCAAAAGGAAGGTTTTAACAAGAGCCTTATTATAATAAAATTAAAGTTAGTTATTAAGTTTTATAGAGACAGCGTGGGCTTCTGTAAGAAATACTACAAGAAATACCATTGGAAATTCATATTTTATTCATGTATGATCACATAAAAACATTTTTTTTCGATTCAATTTGCATAAGAGAATTAAGTGAGACTTGTTTTGTCATTACAATTCCATAAGGTACGTGTTAAATATTCTTTACGTTACTCTAAAAGGAAATGGAAAATTTGAAGGTTTATTTTTGGGTGTAATGATTTTGATTCATAGCTATTTTCCTATGATTAGAAACATGCGAGGGGTGACCGTTATAATTAATATAATGAGGAGTTAGCCAGCTTCGTATTCTCAAAGCCGATTAATTAGTTCGATCATGGAATCCCAAGGTAAAAAAACTTCGGATAAAACCTTGTCCGTGTTGACATTCGAATGGAAACAGAGAAAAAGCATATTTCTGTGGTCAAACATGAAACCACTTCGGTCAACCGCATTTCTACCGAGTTGGTATGGTGTCAGATGACCGGTTCACGTAGACGGCGGCGGTACATTTTTACAACGCTGCGGCCCACGATCGGATTTTTAACTTTAAACAAAATGAGAAAAGGAGATGAACGACCCACGGCTGGCATTTGCCTTTTCGCGCGAAATAATACGGGAGAAATAAAGAACGACACTCACACACGAGTACCCACACACACGTGCACAATGGGCTGGAAACAAAGAGCTCGGAGAGAGAGGGCGGCCGGTGTCGGCCAAAGGGTGTCACCTCTTTTATCAGATGCGGTCCAGCAAGATAAGTGTGAGACTGTAGTAGGTCTCTCCCATCACCTCCCAGCTACCGGGCAATAATTCACACAGCCCCGTTACGTTTCTTGTTCTTTTTTTAGATAATCGTCATTAATTAAGAAACTAGTCAGTGTGTTGTTTTCCATTTGCCAGAGGACATTCCACCTTTTGGTAAATGCCTTCGACGATAATAACTTATTTACGTTATTACCCAGGGTGTCGTCACATGAAATCATCAATTTAATGCCTAAATGGGGCAAAGTTTTCTTTCACTTTACACATAACCACTGTGAGGAATGTGTTTTTTATTTATCCCCCGTAGTTTTGGAATTTAATGGATTTTATTTCGCTAAGACTGTTTTATTATTAAACTAATTCACAATTGAAAAATCCCTCTTCGCAAGTCACTCGAAGAAAGACAAATACAACAGAAAAACGTTAGATAAAATTAATGAAAATTACTGGCGAAATTCTGTTGCGTGGGTGTTATTCGATTGGATGAAGTTTCGTAACCGTTGTTGATCCGTCTTTCTCTCACTGTTAGTTTCTTGGTCAGAAGGTACTATCAACGTTTTACGATCAAAAACATCTGACATTTTTTACATTAATCATAAAACGGAAATACATAATTATAAAGCGATAATGCATCGCACACAGGCGTCACAGACTAAAGATGACCTCTGACCGGACGGAAACTGCGAGAATGTCTGCCCAAATTATTAATAGCCGAATATTGGTAGGCCTAACGTTTATTTGATCGAGTCGAGAGATGGACCGTTAAACGCTTCCTAGGCTCTCGTTTGGTCA